CAGCCAGGGGAAGGGGTAACGTCTTATCAGCGCTGCACGTACGGACGGCTGGAAAACGCTCCGCGGTGCCCGTTGGGGCTCTAATCTGTCGGACGGCCCCGCTGGAGCAGAGTCCAGGCCGCTTTGCCGGCCTAATCAACGGTGCGCTCCCGATGCGCTTCCAAATGGTTTTTTAATCGAGGTCCAGGATTGATAACGTGCCCCGGCGAGTGCGGAACTTTCCCCCAGCTGCCGCTCGCAGCGTGGAAAAGGCTCCGCATCAAAGCGCGCGGCCGTCCCGTTAATTGCCCCTTGGGCAGTTTTACAGCGCCGATAAGGCAGGAATAGATGCGATTGCGCTCGGAAGACTTTGAGTTGGCTTCTGAGCTTCCACGGGGGCCCTCTGCCCCACGGCCGGAGCGGGGCTCCCGCTACGGAGCCCCGTGTCCCGGGCGGAGGCGGCAGGGAGGGAGCCACGGGACGGGTGGGGACACTTCTTTATATATAGAGCAGGGAGCCCTGCCCGCGCTATCTTCTCCCAAAGCTCCGGAGCAAGAAGCAGCAGCCCTGCTGCAATGCCCAAGAAATACACGTTAAAGCAGAGCTCACCGGCCTGCGAGTTGGGTGAGTATCGATAATCCTAGCGCTAGGAACGCCGCTCCTGGAAAACCTCTTTCTGGGTGCAGGAGGGGGAGCTTCTCTCCACAGAGCTCTCCATATAGCTCAAATATATCCATATATATACATATATATGGATATATTTCCAAAAGACAGTCATTTAATTTCCTCCCTCTGCTTGCAGCACCTTGTAGAGATGTTCTTGCTGCAGCCCCGTTAACTGGCTGCGTTTTGGGCACAAGATGAATTTTTCTGTCTCTGGATAAAAAAACTTCGTGCATCTCCCTTTGAGGGACATACAACCCCAGAGTCTGCACGGTTTCTTGAACCTGCATCCAAAAAGGTGGCCACTTTCCAAGCAAGGAAGCTGTTCAAGGCCTCGTGCCCCTTCCCGGCCACTCCTGGGTGCATCCTGATGGGAAAGGACAAGGACTGTAGTCACATTGGAACTACTGTGTCCAAGCAGGGATTTCAGCCCATTCCCTGCTGAGGTGAGGTGAAAGAAGCAGCTGCCAAGTCTTCCTTTTCCCACATTTCCCCTTCTCTTCCTGGATTCCCCCTTTCCCAGATTTCCCCTTTCCTGGATTCAGAGGTCTGGGGAGTGTCCCACATGGTTGTTTTGCTCTCTTGTTTAAGCAACAAGGAATGCACATTGCAAAACCTGCGTGTTTGGGGAAAGTGAGGAATGAATTCTTGCAGCCAGGATGTTTTGTCTACTTTCCCAAAAGGCAGAATATTCTCCGTGACAGGGATGTAAAATACAGATTTATTGTGACATAATGTAAATACTCAGAGAGAGCTTGTGTCTGAGGCTGTTTGTCACGTTGGCAGCTGAAGATCTGGACATTCAGGTTGTGAACGTGACAAACGTTGTTGATATCACTGTGACCCTCAGGAACCTTCTTGGTCCTGACGGATCCGTGTTTTTTAATGGAATAAACCGTCCATCAGAGAGATCTCCAGCCGTTTGGCTCCTCTATTTATCGCTCCACAGCGTTAACTCCGTGTAAAATGAGGGGACAATGTCCCTATGGCCACGCTCTGCTGGGGGTCCTGGTGACCCCATGGCGGGGCCTGATGTCCCCATGGTTGAGCTGCACCGAGGAGGGGGGTGTCCCCGTGTTATTCCCGTGCTGAGGGTCTCGGTGTCCCCCTGCCCCAACGAGCCGAGTCAGAGCCGAGTGGAGCCCGAACGGAGCCGAGCGCAGCCGAGAGGAGCCGAGCGAGCTCCCCAGACCCGAGCGAGCCCGAGCGTTGCCGAGCTCAGCCGAGAGGAGCCGAGCGGGCTCCCTAGACCCGAGCGAGCCCGAGCGTTCCCGAGA